GATACACTTTTGTGGGGGATGAGGATGATTCTCTGCTAAAAAGCTATGCTGTCCATGCAGTGGCTGCCATCACACTACCCCAAGATAATCTCTGAGTTCTGAATTGTGTAATCAAAATGCTTATTGTCCCTTAAAATAACTTACTCTTTCATGTCGGCAAGGAATAATCAGATTTGATACATAGCTACTTACTTCAATTTTTAAACGTTTCAATTTTCAAGAAAAACATCCTTAGTAATTAACTATATTACGGTATTCTAAAAATGTTTTAATTACCTAAGTCTGACTAGCTATAACTTATTTAATTCTCTTTACTTTTAAATCAAGCCAAATGGGGAATGTAGTCTTGAAGGGAAATGAAAGATTGATAGCAAACTATTTTAATATCTGCATAAATCTTTTTTTTTTTTTTAAAAAGATGTATTCATCTATGCTACAGAACTGGGGTACAGGCCAGAGGTGTGGTGGGTGAAAGGATTTACCAGAGACGGAGTGGGGAGCAGAACAGGCTGATCAACAAAGTACACTGCTGAGGGGAGCAGTGGGCAGGTCAGAAGAGGTTTGCCATGCCATGTGGGTCAGCTCCTTGGCCAGGTATAGAACTTGTGCTGCAGTGGCTTCAAAGAGCTTCATAATGTGGTATTTTAACCCACTGTGACACCAGGGAGAACCCATAAATCTTTTTTATGGAAATAAAAACAATTTTCGTGAAGCCTGGAGAACTTGTTTACAAATTGGAGAAGACAAGTGGGGTAACTCCAAACAATTCACTAGTCTTTACAAGATGAGTATTTTAGAAGCAGGGAGCCTAGCATGAAATACTTTTTATGATACTAAGTTTCATGAAGATTCTTAGACAGTTGTAATCAGTTGACTCACTAGTCTTTCTATAGCTTAAGAAACTGAGTTGGTATGAAATGGAGGAACTAAAGGTCACTTTGGTTTGTTTGTGAAGTGATACTAAGTATCTTATAAATATCTGCCTAGGAGAAGTAGGCCCAGGGGCTGACCTTGAAGATATTTCTAGTAACAGGTCTGGAGTATGATACTTGTACCAGTGAAAATGTACATGACACACTGATTAGCCACAGCAACTTAATTTTTCAAAGTAGTTGATGGTGTCAGAAAATGACAGAACTAATAACTAATAACTAGAACTTGAAGACATATAAAGCCAGAGCTAAGAAGTGATATTTATTGATGATTATGTCACTGGAAAGTATGCACTTTCTATGACAGCGCAATATCAGATATAACGAGAAAACACGGGCTTCTACTGTACGACAGACTACCTTCCACTCTAAGAAAACTAACACAAAAGCTAACATAGCCTATCTGGTAATAAACATTAACTGGAAGAAAATATAACCCCAGCCTCTCCCACCATTTTCCTCTAGAAAAAATGTTATTTTCTATAAGCAAAATAATCTTTTGGAAATCATGAAACAGTTCCAAAATGGCATTTAATTGACTTATGGTTGTTATAAAATAGATTCTTACTTGATCTGATATAAAGCAAAATAGTATATTGTTTCATTAGAAATCTCTGAAACTGCTCTGATCTTTTGGAGCTTTTAAAGTCAGTGGTGAAAATATTTTCTCTAATTTGTTATTTCTAGAAACTTTCAAATAAAATGTCTGAAGTACAATTTTAACAAAACAGAGCATTTTAATATTTTAAATGATTTTAAGAGGCTTTAAGCTGCATCTCTTATCATTTTCAAAATCTGGAGTGAATGTAAACTGAGAAATTATAGTTCAATACCAAACCAAAGAACAAAACCAAGTCAGGTTAAACCCAGGCCTCCTTCTCAGTTTGTTATGAAATCAACAGTAACCACACAACTGATATAATTGGGAAATGAATGATTTTTGTTCTTGATTTTGCTTTCTCCCAAAGGTTAACTTGGCCAAAGTACTTTGGGTCAAAAGGTTCAAAGAATGATTAAAATAGAGACTGGATAGGCCCTCCCTGGTGGCGCAGCGGGCTAAAGCACAGCACTGAGAATCTGAAGCCACTTCCGCATGAGTTCGATTCCCGCCTGCCCCGGAGGTGACCACATGGCGTGGCAGACCTCTCCTGACCCGCCCACTGCTTCCCTCAGCAGTGTACTTTGTAGATCTGCCTGTTCTGCTCCCCACTCTGTCTCTGGTGAAGCCTCTCACCACCCCTGAGCCTCTGGCCTGTACCCCAGTTCTGTATGCACAAATAAATAAATAAATTTAAAAAAAAAATAGAGACTGGATAATTTAAGGATATTTTGCTAGCCTCACATTATCTTTTTAAAAGAGGTCCAAGTAAACTGAATACGAAAGATTTAGTATAGGCACTATAGACAGCCCATAATATTGTCTTTTGTTTATCCTTGTTACTGAGCAATAACTATAGATTATGTATAATTAACAGGGTATGTGACCTATTACATTTATGGTATATAATCAAAAAATAATCTCTTTGGTTCCTATCCCCCACTCTTCCAGAGTATACAGTACAAACAACTAGACTTTTCTTTGTCTTTATGATGAAAAACTACATTTTATCTATGCATTTTGATCACTGACCCAGATACCTGGTTTGCACAATGCCAAAGTTTAAAACACAAAAGGATTTTTAAGCATCCCATAGCATTGATGCTTTGCTGCTGCATACCTAAGATACTAAGCCCCTTTCACCTCGAGTCAAACACTTGAATGTTTGAAACCTCTATTACAGGTGTCAAGTAGTGCTTTAATTAAAATCTCAGATAACCTAAGCCCTGTCTATGAAAGGACAAATGACAGTAGGTCACAAAGGAACCATCTCTGCAATTAGGATTAATTTTTCTAAGTGGCTCATTTGTTGAGCGGATATCAAATACAAATATAGGAGGAGATATAGTTTGGAAGAAAGAGTTTTAGGTGAATTGGTTTCTTCATCTCCTACCAACTACTTTCACGTTGTCTTGGAAGATGCTAGTTTCAGGTTCCATCTAGGTAAGTATGGTAAACTTCACCTGAAGAAACGCTCCAAGTTAACTTCACATTATATCTAAAGTAATTATCTGTCATTTCCCACAATGTCCTGCAACTTTCTGCTACTAGTTTAAAAACCTAGTATAATTAATTAATAACACTCAAGTGCCTTATTTAGAGCAACTGCTATTTCATCACTGACTAAATAGGAGAGCAGTACTGTCACCTTAGAAAGCCCAGTCAGTTAAAACTCAGTGGCCTATGGTCTTGCCAGAGGGCTATTAGTCAGCCACTGAGCAGTTTGAATTACCCAGTGGGAGTGAGGAGAATGAAAAGAAAGGAGAAGAGACATTACTCTGAGTATACACACGAATGAGTCAAGGCAAGTCAGAGCTTATTAATTTCCAAATCCACAAATGAGGTGGTGAAAAGGACCCTCTGAGGCTTTACAGAAAGCATTCTTTGAAATGAAACCCAAATCCCCTAGAAAACCTAAAATAACTCAGAAGCTGCAATAAGTGATGGACACAAATAAACAAAAGCAAAAGCAATTTGCAATACACTTGATTGAGAAGTTACAAAATTTTGATGAGCTGTTCAGAACTTAGTTTAAGATGTAGATTGTCCCTAAATATAACTGATGAAAAGCAGTGGTAACAGCCAAACTTGATGACACAGGTCTATGCCAAAGTGTCTGCTATGCTGTATTCAAGGAAGAACTTTCAATTAAACAAAAGTTTAAAGAAAACTGAAAAGCAAAAATGTTTGTCCTCTGTGCGATCATGCCATTTTCTATCTTTAAAGTGACTCTTTGGCCATAGTGAAAAAGTAATTTAGAGTTCTCAGGAACACCAAATAATGGCTCATATGAGTTCAATGGGATAACATAAATATTGTTGCTGACTTATTGAGGTTTTTGGAAACTCAGCAGAAGATTATTTTAGAACGTCAGAATTTATGTTGGTAGTAAAGTAATTATGGAGAACTGTAAAGTCACATTTAGGACACAAAGTGTGACTTTTTCTGCCTTTTGGAAGAACTTTTATTTCTTGATTCAACATGAAAACAAAGAAATCAAATGTGAAAAATATGTCATATCTGAAAGTCTAACAAAAGGAAAAGCATTAATGAATTCGAAGTTTAAAAGTTACAATAATGCAAAATTAAATTTACACACTGAAAATAGAACACTCCTTTGCTTACTTATAGTAGCTTAGAGAAATAAACATGGACTGTCCATAATTTTTTTAATCACTAATTTGTAAACCTGTAATTAAAGAGTCAGATGATGACAGATTATTTTCTTTCCCCAAATTATTTCAGTTAAGATAAAGAAAACTTTATGGTGTCCTTTTTCTAAGAATTGATAACTAAGAGTTCTGGTTACTAGGATTAAATTTATGGTTGGAAAGTATTTCATTCTAAAAACAGTAAATTCAAATTTAATCAATCTTATACTTCTGAGTGCTTGCAAACCAAAGGTCTACTGAGATCCCACAAAAGTACCCACAGCCACCGACCAACATTTAGGTTTAGAACAGGATCAAAGTCATTTGTGATCACTTTGGTTATTAATAAATACTTCTGAGTATTGTCCTAAAAGCAATAAAGAACTCTCTGATTTCACACTCTCTTTGCTGAAGAGCTATTAACAAACACACCTAGCATTTTCTTTTATAATATAGTCAATATGTATGACAAAATATGCTTATGTCATTGTCATGGGTAGTCAGTGATCTAATAATAATTGAAAGCCATATGTGATATAATTTCCATTGTACAAAATCAATAAAGCAACATTACTTTTAGATTATAAATGGGTTCATGAAAAAAACAAATAATGGGGTAAGAAAGAAAAGAAAATGTATGTGCAAGGAGTTAAAAGTGATACCATTTTTGATTATGGAAGGGTACATATAAGAGTATAAATTACATCAAATATATAATAATAAAGTTCAGACAATTATATATCCAAAACCAACAGCAAATTTATTAAAAGTGACACAACTAGTAATATGTATCTCACAATAATACTTCTGTTTTCTTACCATGTATGTGGTACAATCGGACTCTATGGACAACATGTTCAAAAAAGCAAGTCACATCTGAAAAAAACTTTCCATGCTGCACTCTGACCAAGGGTGGTGTTGTATAAATATAAGGCTAAAAAGGAAACAAAATTTTTAAGAAAAGTATTTAGCTTTAATATGCACATGCTATAAAATGAAATGTCAAGTTTTTCATTATACCGAAATTGCTAAAAATAGAAAATATAAATGTTCACAGTTTGACTGACCTAGATAATCTACCAATATTCCTCCTAGGTACACATATTTCTCATTAAAATTCTTTATATTGTCCAAGTGTTTTTTTAGTAGAAATAGCAATCATTCCACAGCCATGACATTTTCCCAGACAAATATATATTACATCCATGGCCCCCTAATATTCAGGGTCATGGCAGATGTCCAAGAAGACCACAGGGAGTCATCTAAACAAACAGGAAGCAAGGTTCAAAAACACAGCTTAATAAGAGTAGTCTTCTTACATGAAAGAACAAGATGAATAGTAAATAATCTACAAAGTTGGAAAAAATGATGGCAACCAATGGTTTAGTTTTTATCTTCATAATCTAAATTCAAGAAAATATGGGAATAAAAGGCATAATTTAAGTGACACAGAACAAACTGAAAATATTTGTTAAATATTAGATTTAATTATTAGACTCTTTAGAGAGTAAAATAGCAACATAAAATACTACATCTGTAATGTGAACTACTTAAGAAGTGCAAGATTTTCAGAACTGTGTCATTATTTTCCAAATTTACCTGTTTGGCTAGAGAAATATATTCAAATGTTAATATAATGCTGTAAGGTTTACAAAGTTATTGTACCTAATTATAACATTGCTAGAAAGTAATGGGGGGTAGGATTGGAACCTTTGACTGGAACTTACGGGTTCTGCCTGATACACCCAGCAGTCTCTTTCCTGGTATTCTTTTATTTTCCCTTTGTAAATATAATTATCTTTCTATTTAAACTGTGAACAATTTGAGTATAAAATAATGTAAAATGACTTATTTACTATTGTCTATGCGTAATATCCCACGGCATGGTTTCTTATTTCTTTAAGTATAAAAACAATCAAAGCAAAATGATAAAAGCAGTTAAATGGGAAAACATTAATACAGCTTATATTATGATTCCAATGTCTACTTGTAATACCATTACAATCTGTAGTTTAATTTATCATCAAATTAAAAAGCGAATAAGAAAGTAGAGTCCTCAGTACAGCTTCCATAATTCCTCTGACTCTTTAATTTCGGTTAGCAGGTTTTTCTAAATTATAGAACAAAAGTAACTTTTTCAGAAGACAAATCACTGAACAACAATATTTGGAGAATATTTAACATATTTTTAAGTGGGGAAGCCTGTACAAAGGTAAAGAAAGAAGTGCTAAAAACAAAACAAACAAAAAAAAACCCCACAGAATCGACTGCATAAAAATAAACTGTAACAGGACAATAATGAAACTAAGTGACATATATAGGGAAAATTAGTATAGAAAAAAGAATTACTCTTAGTATATTTACTGTCTTAGCAAATTTAAATTATACAATAATGCAGTGTTGTCCACTATACATATACATTAGAGTCTTCAGACATGATTCAATTTATAGCTAAAAGATTTTAAATACTAACAGTATATTATAGTTGTGTTTTCAAAGAACACACTATCAGATTATGATCATAGTGATCAATAAAGCATGTATCTGAAACAAAACTTGAAAATGGAATATGCATAGAATAAATGTATAGTACTAGGAGTGAGTTTTAGAAGTGTGTGAAATAGTTGGTATCAGGGATGGAGTTTTTTATTTTTCGTTTAAGTGTTAAAAGGTAAAGAGAAAAATGGCCCCGTGAGCAACTATGTAACTATGTATTTTTTAAAAGATTTACTTATTTATGCATACAGAACTGAGGTAGAGGCCAAGAGTGCAGGGGCAGTGAAAGGATTCACCAGAGACAGAGTAGGGAGCAGAACAGGCAGATAGCTGAAGTGCTGAGGGGAACAGCCCACCGGTGACACAGGAGAGGTTTGCTGTGCCATGTGGATCACCTCAGACGACAAGGATGGAACTGAAGTGCTGTGGCCAGCTTGCGGTGCTGCAACCTAACTTGTTGCACCATCAGGGTGCCACATTACCTACATATATGATTTTATTTCTTTAATATGCTACATTAGCTACATTTATGATGCCAAGATAGGACTCAGATCCGAAATCAAATCTAGCTTATATGCTGGAGAGAACTTGCTCATTGTAGCATACTAACTGAATTTGAACTCTGTAAAGTTATTTCTCTAACATTCAATTACAAAATGTAAAGTGTCAATATGATATAACAGTGATGCAATTCCAATTCCTGCAAGATGGCACAATTAAATACACATGTTCTCTCCTCATTATTTTTCCACATATATTTTTTCATTGTTCCAGTTCTCAAGCTCTCACCTTGGCTTCACCATCAGGTAAGAAGAGGTAGGCACCACTTTTGTCTTTTTTATTTGTCGTTCCATACCATGAAAACTGCACCTTTACTGCATGTTGTTTGCCATCTTCTTTGTTTATTATTTCCTAACGATAGAAAGATACATTTTAAGACAATTCACTATTAAGACATTAATTATGTTGCACCTGGCTCCATATGCATAAAATTAAAAAATTATCTCAGGACAGACTAAATAATGTTACTATTCAGCTTCTCACATTCACAATCCTTGGAAGAATACCCAAAATTTTATAGTTAGCCTTAGGATTTAAAACTTTCACATGAACCAAAAAATACATTTCATCAGGCAAAAAAGAGATACACAAACTAATAGAGCTAAGCCAATACTTCTCAAATTTTCTGTAGCAAAAGAGCCAGCTTAATTTTAATTTTCAATAAACATGGACCACAAGCTTTGTAAAATACAACAAAAGTGAATTATTGGAAAAACTTAAGTGATATATCAAATATGTGCTCAAACTTTTATTAGTAGATTCAATAGGCATATATTTACTCTCTGAAATTGCCTTAAAGTTCCAAAAATAATACTAAAAAGTCACAATATTATACTTACCTTCTTATGCACCAGTAACAAAGCAGCATAGACCACATTTGTTAGGGTATAAGCAGTCATTTAATTACCCAAAACTAATAAAAGTGGTTAGCCCCCAGATAGAAAAATCTCTGTGAACCCCAAACAGGTAGAAAAACATATTATATTATATCATGTTACTTCCTCTTATCTCCTCTACACAAAAAAGTAGTTAGGAAAAATAAGATATAGGACTAGGCAATCAATACACAGTCAATAGAATCACAGATTAATATCTCAAGGCACATTCATCCTTTCTCCCAGAGTATTTGAAAGAGTCCTACTTAAATAGACTTCTTTATATAAATAATCTGCACATATCATAACATTTGCAATAAATCCATGAATCTCAGAATGGTTTAGAACATACCTCCATAAGCCCAGATTGAGCAAAACGAATTTTAATATAGGAGTTCTCTAGAGTTATATCTTCTTCAGCAGTTTTTACAGTTTTTATGTTGAAAATTCCTTTATCTTTTATATCCCCATTATACAGGCTATACTCAGCTAAATGTGGATTCGAATTTGCTAATTCCAAAATCCTATACACTTTCAGTCCCAATGGTGGCATTTGTGCTAGAAAAGAGATCTTAAAAAAAAATAGAAAAGGAAATTTATTAAAGAGAAATATAATCTACTGAAAGGAAAATCATTTAACTTCTAATAAAACAACATATGACCATATGTTTTAAAAAGAATATAATACTAAAAATGTGTTTTGATAACTTATGGGTTAAAGGACTCACATCTCAGTTTATCTTTGGGACCTAATAACTTCAAGTTAAGAGGGCGATCAAAGGCATCAATGTTTTCATTTGGTATATGAAATTATCTTAATAGGTGCTCTTAATGAATGCTCAGAGTAGGATGAAGGCTTACTAGGCACAGTAATTTTTCTTAACCATTAGGACACTTTTATAATACTATGATATTTCAGTACATTAAAAATTAAAATGACAAATGGACTAACATTAAGCACATTAGTCTAGTCACTACCAAGTCACCCAATGCCTGGGATTTAGCAGACAATGAACAAGGCACAGAGAGAGTGCACATACTGCAATACACTATCTGTCTTCCAGTAAATGTTTTTATATGGGTCCTACCTATAAAATCTGATCAAAACTTTTCCTTTCTACCTAAAAGATTATGACTTTATGAAAGCATCTAACAGTGGCTCTTAACAAGCAGAAGAAATTCTCTTTAGAGTTTATAGTTCATGGCTTAATTTTCAGATGTAGTTCAATTTTTTTTTTTAATTTAAGTTTTAGCAACATATGATTTTTCTCCTCAGATGTGTACACTAGTTTTCAGAAGAAGCTTAAATCACATTTAGGATTTTAAAAGCTCAACCTTTCTAGTGGCCTGGGAATTTAGGTTAATACTGCTTATTTTAGGAAATTTTCTTCCAAAGTATCCATAACTTGAGTTCAGATTCTCCGTAATTACGTTTCAGAAAAAAAAAAAAAATCTTAGGGCTCCCTAGGCACAAGGGATTAGGACTCAACACTGCAAACTAGCTGCAGCCCTTCAGTGCAGGTTCAACCCCCCCCCACCCCCCATGATCCACATGGTACAGCAGACCTCTCCTGTTTCACTTGCTGCTCCCCTAGCAGTATACTACATTGATCTGCCTATCCTGCTCCCCACTCTGTCTCTGGTGAAGCCTCTCACTGCTCCTGCACCTCTAGACTGTACCCCACTTCTGTATGAATAAATAAACCTTAAAAAAATCTTATTTAATTTTGGAAAGTCGGATTTTTCTAGTGTGTTATATCAAGTTGCAAGTATTCAAAGTTATTTAAAAGGTAGTATTATTTTTTAAAGATTTATTTATTTATTCGTACAGAACTGGGGTACAGGCCAGAGATGTGGAGGGTGAGAGGATTCACCAGACAGAGTGGGGAGCAGAACAGGCAGATCAAGGAAGTACACTGCTGAGGGAAGCAGCGGGTGGGTCAGGAGAGGTCTGCCTCGCCATGTGGATCTCCTCCCGGGCAGGTGGGGATCGAACTCATGCGGAAGTGCCTTAAGCTTCTTAGTGCAGTGTTTTAACCTGCTGCGCCACCAGGGAGGCCCAAAAGGTATTATTATTTTAATTTAAATATGCCTGTCATAGAGTTTGACCAAAAAATTCAAAATTCTTTGCGTAATGATCACAATTCAGATTACAATATAAATTCGTAAAAATATATACAATATATATACTAGTAACTTGTGCTAGTAAAAATATAACATACATAATAAAATTTATATACAGTAAAAGAGGAGCTATTTTCCTTTATTTTGGCCAATTGAAACTTTTGTTATTTACAACTTTAATCACTTCAGATACATTTGTAGCTCAAGGGGCATGCATCTTTGTTAAACTATCAATACTTATTGGTTGTGCTTCTTTCATGATGCTTCTCTGAGTTCTATGGTAACAACATACCTCATAGGTTGTTTCTGAAATAGTGCTTGCTGCATCCCACACGGCACTGACTTGAATGTCCACAGGCTTTCCTGAAGCAGATGACACCTGGACTTTAGGGGAACTCACCAAGATTGAGACGACAGTACTTCGCTCCTGTTCTAAAGGATTAAAGACCACAAGGGACCTGCAAAAAATAGCTGCTTTACTATTGGAGCCTCACAATATTGTTTCATACTTCATACTTTTATTAAGACCTCAGTTGTAGAGCCAATACACAGAGAAGAACTATAAGGAATATTCAAGTAAAACCTTTAAAGAAAGGTCAATTTAATCACAACAAAACCACACAAAGCAAAAGGTTATGAGGTGATTCACTTTCTAAGAATAAAATGTTATACAAATGGACGCTATTAATATAATTCTGATAAAGTTATTTACATATCTCAGAAAATATAAGTTTCATTGATTTGTCTGAATCAGCTCTATATAAACTAATAGTCAATTACTGTTTAATTTCACTGATTAAGAAAATATATAAATTTCTGTTTGCAATTTTGTTACTAATTTTCACTAAATTTCTGACATTCATTTTGGATCACTCACAGCAAAAATATATGGCTACACATGCAGAATCACATAATTCACACTTGGATTATATATGTGTGTATATATGTGTACGCATACACATATATACACACATCACACACACATACACACAAATATGTCTTACATGTACTTATTATCAAAGAGTGGTTCTGGAAAAAAAATCTTAAAATTAGGGCTGAAACTTTAAAAAATAGTTGCTGAAGAAAATATTTGATTTGATTTAGCTAGTAAAAAGAAAACAAGACTGCTAATGTAAGTTAGGGTAATATTTCAAATATATGTAATGGTTAACAATGAATGCACTGGAAATTTTGGCAGAATTTTTCTAGAATTTTTTAAAAACATTTTATATTAGCACATTCCAACATCCCTCATATAACACTTATTTTTTTATGAGATTGCTTTAAACATAACTATCTTTATATACATAGTTTGCAGCATAACTATTTAATGAATCAATTTTCCTGATGATCTGCACTCTCAATTCTTTGATATTTAAATAATTATCAGTTGAAGCATCCTTCAGGAACCTAACTCTGCCAAATTTTCATTGTTTCCTGACTGCCTATGAGTAGAAACATTCTAACTATGATGTCAGAGATTTGATGAAACCCAAAGGCTTTACAAATTTGTGATTTTACTTTACAATCAATTTGTATATTATCTCAAAAAACAAAAATCAAAGGATATTTCAAAGAGGATGTTTGACTAACAATAAAACCAGATTCATTAATGGACCTTTTCAAGCTCTGTCATATGTTGTTTTACTGTACAATTTTGTGACTGCAGAGCACATATAAGTGAAGAGTCAGATGGCAACTGCTTCTCAGTGGTTCACAATCAACTAGGTGTATCAGAACTGGGAGAAGCAAACTAGCATTGTTTATTTTAACATCAAAAAGCCCAGCAGTGCTGTTTTATCCACATATGTGTATATTGCAATTTTATTACAAACCTTTCATTAAAAAATCAGATTAATTCCTACAGTGACTCAACTTAAGTGAAAATTGTTTGCTGGGAGAAGCATTTGTGACTGGAACAATATTCTGATAAAACAAGGGTGGTGATATCACAATGTCTCCAATTCCTACTAGGTTTATAGTATGCATCAGAATCACAAGACCTAATTCCCATCAATTTTGTTATTTGAGATTTCATATGTATACGAAAGCTGAAAAGCAAGAGGAATCTAATAATGCATAGCAAAACTGCATCCAAAAATGTGTTTAAAGGATTATGCATATGACCAAGTAGATTTACTCCAGGGACACAGGAAGGTTCAACATCCAAATCAATTAATGTGACTCAACACATTAATAAAAAGGAAAATAAAAATCATATGATCATATCAGTAGATGCTGAAAAAACATTTGATACAGTTCAACATCCATTTATGATAAAGGCCCTCAAGTACTAAGATAAAAGGAACGTATCTTAACAGAACAAAAGCCATAGGTGACAAACTCACAGCTAATATTATCCTTAATGACAAAAAACCGAAAGACTTTCCTTTAAGATGTGGAAAAAGCCAAGGATGTTCATTTTCACCACTCTTTTCAATATAATACTGGAAGTCCTAGCTAGAGAAATTATGCAAGAAACAGAGATACAAGGAACTCAAACTGGAGAGTAAGAGTACCATTATTTGCAAATGATACAATAATACAAATAGTGAACCCTAAGAAATCTATAGAAAAAAAAACTAATCAAAATGAAACTGTTTAGTAATGTAGCAGGTTATAAAATCAACATATTAAAATCAGTAATCTTATATGTAAACAACCAATCTGAAGAGGAAGAAATTAAGAAAACCATCCCACTTACAATTGAAACAAAAAAATAAACACCCAGAACCTGGAAATAAACCTAACAAAAGAGGTGAAAGTCTAATGCAAGGAAAATTACAAAACACTGTTACAAAAAAGAGAAGACACACAAAAAATTGAAAGACATTGCCTGTTCATGGACTTGAAGAATTAACATTATCAAAGTGGCCATTCTACCAAAAGTATTTTACAAAATTCAATGCAAGTTCAATAAAAATCTCAATGGCATTCTTCAAAGAAATGGAACAAATATTACTGAAATTCATTATAGAAATGAAAAAACCTCAAATAGTAAAAACTTTCCTGACAAAAAGGAAAGAACAGAGGTATTATACTTTAAATTATACTTAAAATTATAATACAAAACTATAATAATAAAACAACATGGTACTAGAACAAAAACAGACACACTGACCAATGGAATCAAACTGAAAACCCAGAAATAAAGCCACACATAGTCAACAGACCTATGACAGAGGAACAAAGAACATATCTTAGAACAAAGAAAGTCCTTCAATAAATGGTGCTAAGAAAATTAGACTGCCACATGAAAAAGAAACTAAAATACTATCTGCACCATATGCAAAATAAATTAAACTGAATGTAAGACCAGAAACCATATAATACATGAATGAAAACACAAGCAAACACTCTGTCACATATACTTCACAAACATCTTTGACATCTCATCTCCTGATGCAAGGAATACAAATGAGAAGAAAAACAACTGGCACTACATTAAACTAAAAAGTTTGTGAATCAAAAAAGAGACAATATCCAAAACAAAATCCTACAGAATGGGAGAAATATTTGCATACCATACAACTGACAAGGTCCTGAGATCAAAGATCTTTTAAAAACATACATAATGGCCCTCCCTGCTGGCGCAGCGGGTTAAAGCACAGCACTGAGAATCTAAAGCCGCTTCCGCATGAGTTTGATCCCCGCCTGCCCCGGAGGTGACCACATGGCGTGGCAGACCTCTCCTGAACCGCCCGCTGCTCCCCTCAGCAGTGTACTTCGTCAATCTGCCTGTTCTGTTCCCCACTCTGTCTCTGGTGAAGCCTCTCGCTGCCCCTGAGCTTCTGGCCTGTACCCCAGTTCTGTATGCACAAATAAATAAAATCTTAAAAAAAAAAAAACATACATAACAACAACAACAGGCAGAAGAGCCAAAAAAGACACTTCTCCAAAGAAATGCAAGTGCCTAACAGGTATATGAAAAAATGTTCATCATCACTACTTATCAGGGAAATGTAAATCAAAACTACATATTCCAGCTCTCACCAGTGAGCATGGTCCATAAAACAAATAAACAAAAAAGTAGAAACAGCACATGCTGTTGAGTGTTGGTGGAACACTGTGGAAAGATGTATGGAGGATCCTCAACATACTAAAAATGGATCCAGCAATTCCAATCCTAGGAAACCCCAAAAGGGCACTCAAACTACTAATTCGAAAAGAATCTTATATTCCTGTGTTTACTGAAGCACTACTTATAATAGTCATGATATGGAAACAAAGTGCCCAGAAACAGATAACTAGATCAAGAAGATACGGTACATATGCATGACTACTACTCAGTGATCAAAAAAGATAAACTCATGCCATTTGCCACAATATGGAGGGAGCTGGAAGGGATTATGCTGAGTACAATAAGTCTGACGGGAAAAAAAATCAAGTGAGTTTACTTAAAGTGTTAACATAGAAAAACTGAACAAAAGGTCAAGAAAAGCACAATTTGCAAGCATAACATAGATTTGAGGCAAAAAACGAGAGGGATCAAAAATGGGGAGGGAAGAGCACAAGGGACACAGATGGGTCACAGATGCTATGGTGATGGGAAAAGTAAGGGGACCCTATCTGAAGGAGATTTAAGGGGAAAAAAATACAAAAATACATGTAATTAAAAAAAAAAGACAAAGTTACATTGTCAAAAATAAATTTACAAAGTATAGTGAAACCACGTTGTATTAGGTAAAACCCCACTTTATCCACAGAAATAATTCCCAACAGACTTATTTGAAGGATCCAACAACCTCTGTACCATCCCACTGTTCTCTACCCGAGTTTATGTTCATCTGATTCTTTTCTAAACATAAGCATATTTGGAGTCAGTAAGGACTGACTTCTGCTAAAATCTTAAGGCAGAATGGGAAGGAAAACATTAAGGGGCATGCATCTGCTGCACCAAAGATGCTCTAATTAGTATCCCAGAAAACAGTGAATACTGGGTATCACATTTTCAGAGGTTTAGCGCTTTCAAATGATAAACTCTATAAGTCTGAGGACTTATGGTAGGTCTGCCTCCTAATTGATAAAAGCCTTAAGGCAGGGTTAGGTACTGAGCCTATAATTGAGTATTAAGTTCTTGGATGCTCCAGGTAACATGCCATGCAATAAATTAGATAATAAGCATCCCAAACACTGATTCCTTCCCAAAGTGGGAGAAATGTCTCACATTTAAAGCAAATAATTTTAACCATACATTTGGTTTTGTGCAATATTAAATTGTTTTTTATAATAAGCTGTGAACTAGGTTCTGTTTTGTTTCATTTTAGTAGCTAATTAGTATTTGACCAAATGATGTTTCTACTGTACTGAATGATTATGTAATTATCATGCCAGGAATCTATTCAAAAACTAAATGCGCAGAATATATAATGAGTATAATGCTGCACCAAGAAAATAATTTTTTAACATAATTAGAGATTCTCAGCATGTTCTTCAAGTGCATCACAGCACAAATATA